TGTAAATTATGTCGTATGAATACCTACCCGCAGGATTTTTGCACGCTCGTAAATATCACCAAGCAATAAGCTACCCTGATACTGCCCCGAAACGTCTTTCCTAATTTCTGCAATTTTTATCATTTTACGTAATTTTTCTAAATTACCAGTTATGAGATAAAGGAATGCCAATTTCTCAAAATTCTTAGTTCTCTGATAACACATTTCGACAACTTGATGATTGCCTTGCAATAAGGCTGCTTGAGCCAAGTTTTCCCAGCAAGATTTTTCGTCAAGTGATCTCGCGGCTTCTAAAGCGACTTCGATATTTCCACATTCGAGTGCAAGGCCAAATCTTGTCTTTTCATCCTTGACAAAGTGCAAAGCAACTTCGGGATATCCTTTTTGTTGCAAATATGCAATTATAGATTGGCCAACGAGATTTGCGTTGCGAACCATGTGCAAAACTTCCTCATATTTCCTATTAATCAAAGCCAATTTAAATTTATATTCAGTCGGATCTATTCGAAGAATCCTTGGTCTGCATTCTCTGTCTAGGCAGTAAACCTGATTGCCTTTAACTCGCGTCACATATATCGGGAGGTCTAGTGTGCGTATAATACCATGATCGCCATTGTTGATCGCATATTTAATGTGATTACTAGTCGTATAAATGAAAACTCCTGAATCGTCCCAAGCTCCCGATTTCACTCTAGTGTTCTCATGCACAGAACACAAGGATTCTAATCGTCGATTACAAATGTTAACAGTATGTTTCGCAAGTAAAGCAACATGAGACATATCGCTAGACCAAACGACATATCTGCATTTAGAAATCTTTACTTCGGCTAATGTTCGTTTCTGTTGTACGTCAAAGAGAGTTACTTGATCAGCGTCGCGTAAAAGGAGCATTCCAGTGCCCGCGTAAAATATTTCATCACAGCTTGGAATCTGCACTTTTTTCGTAACTTCGTTCTTCAAATTTTTAATGACCAACTAAAATTAAAAAAATAATTATTTATTCACGTTAGTTTAAGCAAAATAATTTTTACCTAAATACATACCGAATATGCTCTATCTAGCACCGCGAAACGATTCCTAGCGACCCAAATAGCAGTAACGCCCGAAGCCCGTTTCGTATCAGCGTCAGTGTTTGAATCACTTTCACGCGGTATTAAGTATAGATCGTAAGTGCTATTCTCAACATTATTAGGTGATCTAGTGCATATCAAAACAGCGTTCTCGGCTTGATTGTAGGACATACTATAAGGAGGTGTTTTCCCACCTCCTCGTATTTGCATAACAGATGTATCTTTTGAGGTAGTGAAATCCAATTTTCTAAGGAAACGTTCTTTTACATAATAAAGAACATTTCCATATACAGCATATGCGGGACGTTCTCTTTCTAACTTAAAAATAATCATTCCAGAGTCATGACCAGCAGCAAAGAGATTCAATGTAGGATGTGCTGCAAGAACCCAAAATCTTTCATGCTCTCTTCTAAATGTGTGCAAACAAGTACGTTTAGACATATCCCAAACCCGGATACTTTTATCCTCAGAATTTGAAAGAATTAAATCTTGTCTAGGATGGAATAAAACACAAGAGACATTGTTATAATGGCCACGACAAGTATCAACCTCCCAAGCTTTGGCATCATTCATTCTCCACATTTTAATTTGACGGTCATCAGCTCCAGAAACAATTAGAGGCAAAGTTGGATGAAAATATGCCCAATTAACACCTCTGTCATGTCCTTCTAGAACATGTTTCACAACAGCATCAGCTTGACCAAATAAATCTGTGGCTCCAGGATTTTTTAAATGATCTTCCAAGCCTCCTGGACCAGGAGCTACATTTTTCTTTCTTAATCCAGAAATATCCCATACTCTGACTGTTTGATCTAAAGAAGCTGATACAATGATATCTTCAGTAGGATGAAATTGTGCACACATGACATAGTGATTATGTCCAGTTAAAACACAAATGCAAGTACGACTCTGCCAATTCCAAATACGAATAGTTTGATCATCTGATGCACTTAGAATCCATGGGTATTCTTGATGAAATACAGTTGTTCTAATATAATCTAAATGACCTAACAAAGTGAAGATGCATCTTCTTTGTTTATAATTCCATACTTTAATTTTGTAATCATCACCACCAGAAACAAACAGTGGTTGCTGATTATGGAAACATATTCCACGAACTGGACCATCGTGTTCATCGAATTTGTCTAATAAAGTACACATACGGTAGTCCCATAATTGAATGACTCCATTGTGTAAACTATAACATAACACACAATATTTTCAGAAATCAGACGTGCTTAAAAATTAGAAAATAATTCAAGAAAAAAAGACTATATAATTTAAACATTACTGAAAAACATATATATCACATGTTATTTAAATATATAAATTAAAAACTAAGAGCATTATAAAAAATATCTGCATATCTTTTGTTTCTTTATCTATTAATGTAAATGAAAAATTTCATTTTGTAATGTAATTATGAACGAAATTGTGCTAATTAGCAGGTGATAGAAAAAATATTACTTACCTTGCGAGAACCCATGGACGTTTTGGGTGAAAGGAGAGTCCCTTTACACGAGCAGATTTCGTTTCAAATTTCGTCAACATTTTTTATTAAATATTTAACAAAATTATGTTCAAAAAAACATAATTCTAACCCTTACAAACTTAACACGAATCGCGACACGTCATTAGCGCTGCCATGAAATATACACGTTTAGATAGATATGGCGATTGGAATATATATTTTATCGCATAATATTTATTCTATGAGATTATGCTATTACACACTATGAACATTTCTTTAAATATTTTTTATTTAAATGAATTAATTAATTGTAACTTTTAGATTATCTTTTAATATAACACATACTCTGTGAAATAAAAAAAAATATTTATTTAGGTATCCCAAATACAATAGAAATAATAGAAAATAACATTGAATTGGAATGAAATTATATACATATCTATTTGCTTGTAAT